CCCCCCCCCCCCCCCCCCGTAGGGTTTAGGGTTTAGGGTTTAGGGTTTAGGGTTTAGGGTTTAGGGCCCCCAAAAAAACACACAAAAGCACTGCACCCAGGAAGACGATGGGTACCGGCTACTGCGAGTCTCTGATCGCCGCTCAGCCCGATGTGGTCTGTGGTTCTTCGAAGTTCAAGTGCCAAAGTACTGGGTTTAGGGTGAGTCTAATGATTGCCGATTTGACAATGGAGCTGAAGCTTAGCATCTGAATACGCGACAGGTTAGTGGAACAGCAAACCCATGACGTGTTTCGGGTTTAGGGTTTTTTCAGCAAGCAGACATCTCTGTGTAGCTTGCTTCAGTTCCGTGCATCGGAAGAGAGCTTTGACATAGAACAGCTTTGCATATCTATGTATTGCACTGGTCCATGTGCAAAAATCAACAGACTTATATTCACAGGTACTTATGCACACACACACACACAAGTACATACCATGCCAATGTATGTATGCATGGCAGAAAACATGTATGGATGTATACTATACGTTCGTACGTACGTACGTATGTATGTATGTCTGTATGGCACAATGTATGCGTGTATATGTTACACACGCACATCCATCCCTCCATCCATCTATGCATGCATTATTGTTGGCATCGCCATGGAGGAACAGCCTAAACCCTAGACCCTAAAGCCTCACCCTTTTAATCAAGAATAGATGCTGTGGGCTCTTGTTCTCTGCAGCTCAGGCGTCTGCCAACATCTTTCTGGGTCAGACAGAGGCCGGCTGATCGGAAACATGTCAATAGTAACAGCAATAGCAGTAGTAGGAATGCGAACACAATAGCATTAATGACAATAGTAACAGCAATACTACTACTAATACCAATATCTATAATAACAATATAAGACTCTTATGATAATATTGATAGCAAGCCTAGTAAAGATAGAAGAAGTAATGTGATGATAAGAACACACTGCAAGTCCTTCGCTTGTCTTCATCCATGCGGATGCTAGAATCTCTGTCGAAGTTTTACACGTCCGAACTTGTAGACCCTAAACCCTAAACCCTAAACCCAAAACCCTAAACCCTAAAACCCCTAAACCCTAAACTGGCCATGGAGGCCCCTCTCATCGTGAAGCCTTTCCTGGTGCACATGACCCGCTCTGAGATTCATTCAGCCGCTCGCCGCAGAGCTTGCTTTCAGTATGAGGAAGGTCTCAGACATTGTGAACTCGTTATGACGGCAATGCTCTGCCTCGTTGCGGTATGTGTTGCGCCACCATGCTATTCTCGTGTTGTACAAAATGCCCGTCCAGATTTTGTGGATTGACACATGTCGGTGTCACCGTCGCCTTTGACTAGAGTACGGCAACCCAGGGGACTAAACAATTACCACAACCATCGTTGTGGCAGTTCCTTATTATAGTTGTGGTATTTTATACCCAAAGCCAATTATCAAGGCCCCTACATCACGGTACCTTCCACAGTCAGGGTGCTTGGGCATTTCTCGCCGCCCCCAGGCCATGACCAGCGGTTTTGCCTCGATTGCTGGCTCTGTCATGGCAGCCTACATCCTCTTCGGTGTGCCGGCGGACAGCCTGTTAAGATCTGCTGTTAGGATGTGAGCGGACGGCCCGCAACAGATGAAACCGAGATGTTTCGAAAAGACTTTTGCGTGATCCCTAAACCCTAGACTCCAAAACCCGAAACCCTGAACCCGAACTCTAAACCCCAAAACCGAAACCCTAAACGCTGAACCCCATACCCTAAACCCTAACACCCTGAACCCTAAATCCTAAACCCTAAACCCTAAACCCCGAACCCCATACCCGAAACCCCAAGCCCTCTATACCCTAACGACCCCAAACCCAGAGGAACCCGAAGGAGCTTGGTAGCCCTCTTTTCTGAAGGGCAGAGATAGCCACAAAGCCCCAAGAGACGGACGAAGCTGTCTTTCAGGGTCTTGGGTTTCGGGCCCAAGTTAGGGTTTTAGGGTTTGGGGTTTGGGGTTTAGGGTTCAGGGTTTAGGGTTTTTTAGGGTTTGGGGTTTACGGTTTAGGGTTTGGGGTTCAGTGGGGTTTAGGGTTCAGGGTTTAGGGTTTCCCTGAACCCGAAAACCACCACAAAATCCGGAAAAAAACCCTCCGCCGATGACCCTGCACGCCTAACACCCTCGTCGTCTTCGAACAATGGGTCCGCGCCTTCTCAGCCTCAGTTTCAGCACCCAGTTCTCTTCAGACGTTTATGTAACGTTTTTGTGGCTACTCACAGAAGTCATACTGGCAACTTCTGACATAGAAATGCTTCTTTGTATTGCAACCCACGGGATCACAATAGGGCGCTACGCCACCTAAAACCCTAAACCTGTTATTTAACAAAGCTATTAACCCCCAAAGACCTCTAGAGCTCCTATACACTTTGTAGATCCCACAAAGGAAAGAGCCATTATGGAAGCCTAAAGCTCTTCTATGTGGGATCCCAAACAAAAATCCCTAAACGTTAAGCCCTTATAACCCCAAAGCCCTACAACTCCACATAGCATAGTATTATAGTATCCTGATTCTAGGAACCCTAAGCCCAAACCTGAAGCCCTAAACACTAGACTTTAAACCTAAACCCCGAGGATGAATCCCTAAACCCTAAACCCTAAACCCTAAACCCTAAACCCTAAACCGCCTAAGCCCTAAACCCTAAACCGCCTAAACCCCAAACCCTAAACCCTAAACCCTAAACCGCCTAAGCCCTAAAAACGCATATCTCAAGCCAGGACCACCTCCTCGCCGCCTCCGTGATGTCGGCCCCGGCCGCCCTGGCCATGGCGAAGCTGGTCGGAGACCCCAGTGGGTTTAGGATTTTTTCGGGTTTGGGGTTTAGGGTTTTTTAGGGTTTGGGGTTGTGGGTTTAGGGTTTGGGGTTTAAGGTTTGGGGTTTAGGGTTTAGGGTTTAGGGTTGCGGGTTTAGGGTTAGGGTTT